CAAATTCGAAAATTTTAATGAAAACAATACTTTCTCCATATACTATGGTATAGGGGGAAAAAGTAAAAAAACTTTCACAATTTTAAGGACCATAACATAGGCTACTAAGTTAAATCAAAACCAGCTTTTTTCCTAAAATCATATTTTTTGTTATTTTATGAAGTCATAATAATTATGAGAAAAAACATAATTTACAATAACTTTTGAACTGTAATTTTTACAGAAATGGGAGTCGTACCATTTTGTTCAGAATTTAAAGAGCTACAACATACTAACTTTTTACCAAAATCATTTGTGCTGTTTTTGAGAAAATCCGATTTTTCCATTATTTTGTAGGGTTTTACAGGAAAATCCTCATTAAGAATAAAAAAAAAAATAAATAAAAAAATAAAAAAAAATAAAAAACCGCCCGGAGATACCATGGATTAGAACCTACAGTACACACCAAATTTCATAGAAATCGGACCACAGGTGTAGTCCCTAGCTCTGTACACATCCAGACACACAGACACACACAACACAGACATCACTTCGAAAACCACTTTTTTGGGTCCATATATAAACTCAAACTCAAAAATTTTGACGAAAACAATACTATCTCGATATACTATGGTATAGGGGGAGAAAGTAAAAGGGTAAAGCAAAAGCTGCGGAGATGGTGTTCAGCCTTATCTACAAAAAGAAGAGTACGGTATCTACAATCCTAACATTTGTACAATCCTTCAGGAAGTAGTAAAGGCGAGCAGTCCAGAGTGTGTGTACTGTTAATAACGATTAGATTAAGGTATCTGCAATCTTAAAATGCTATAGGAAAGGAGGAAAACAGGACCGAGACGTAGGAAGTAGTGAAGGAAGTAGTCAAGGCGAGCAGTCCGGAGTGTGGGAACTGTTTATGACGATTAGAGTAAGGTATCTGCAATCTTAAATTGCAATGGGAAAGGAGGGAAACAGGTCTGTGACGTAGGAAGAGGTGAAGGAAGTAGTAAAGGCAAGCAGTGTGGAGTGTGGGAACTGGAAACCGTTTGTAACAGTTAGATCTATGTATCTGAAATTGAAATACTGAAATGGTATGAGAAGGGATGGAAACATGTCCACAACATAGGAAATGGTGAAAGAAGTAAATCATGAAAATCCGTCAAGTGGTGGATTCAGAATTGTGAAATAAAAAAACCCTGTTTTGTTTTAATATTAGTACCTGGGGACCGAGCTTTGCTCGGAGAAAATCATTAGTTCACTCTGAAAGCAGTCTTAGTATCGGAGATACATAAATCTGTTCCCAAACTCCACACGGCTCGCCTTTACAACGTCCTACACCATTTCCTACGTCATGGACCTGTTTCCCTCCATTCCCATAGCACTTTAAGATTGTAGATACCTTAATCTAATCGTTATTAACAGTTCCCACACTCCGGACAGCTCGCCTTGACTACTTCCTTCACCACTTCCAACGTAGCGGACCTGTTTTTCTCCCTTCCCATAGCATTTCAGAATTGCAGATACGTTAATCTAATCGTCATAAACAGTTCCCACACTCCATACTAATCGCCTTTACTACTTCCTTCACCACTTCCTACGTCGCAAACATGTTTCCCTCCCTTCCCATTGCATTTAAAGATTTCAGATACATTAATCTAATCGTCATAAACAGTTCCCACACTCCGGACAGCTCGCCTTGACTACTTCCTTCACCACATCCTACGTCGCGGACCTGTTTCCCTCCCTTCCCATTGCATTTAAAGATTGCAGATACCTTAATCTAATCGTCATAAACAGTTCCCACACTCCGGACAACTCGCCTTGACTACTTCCGTCACCACTTCCTACGTCGCGGACCTGTTTCCCTCCCTTCCCATAGCATTTTAGGATAGCCCATACCCTTATCTAATCGTCATAAACAGTTCCCACACTCCGGACAGCTCGCCTTGACTACTTCCTTCACCACTTCCTACGTCACGGACCTGTTTCCCTCCCTTCCCATAGCATTTTAGGATTGCAGATACCCTAATCTTATCGTCATAAACAGTCCCCACACTCCGGACTGCTCGCATTTACTATTTCCTTCATCACTTCCTACGTCACGGACCTGTTTCCCTCTATTCCCATAGCATTTTATGATTGCCTTTACTACTTCCTTCACTACTTCCTACGTCACGGACCTGTTTCCTTCCCTTCCCATAGCATTTTAGGATGTATTCGTCATAAACAGATCCTAGACTTCGCACTGCTACCCTTGACTACAATGTCTCGAGTAATCTTAAGTATAATCAATCTTTGGTATAATCTTTGCTCAATATTAACAAGTGATGTTTTTCCTTTTGTACTGTATTTGTAATTTGCTAGTATACTGTGGGTAGTTGGTTTATTATGAACACGTGCTACAACTTCAAGTCTTTTGTTTACCTTTTCCTTGTTATTTTTAATTCAACCAACATGGTTACTTAGCAACCCATAAGACTAATGTTAAAAAAATGTGACTTTCAGTTTCGTTTTTCTACGTAATTAGATTTTTGTTGGCAGTTCTAACTGCATGAAACTTGTTTTTAGGCCAAAAATAAACTATTTACAAGATTTGAAGAAAATCGTCGGAGCCGTTTTCGAGATCTTTCTGCAAGCAAGCAAGCAAGCATACATACAAGCAAACATTGCTCGTATTAGAGTATAGGATAGATTACAAAAAATTTTCATAAAATTTCAAAAAAGTTTCAACAACTTTAAAATATTTTAATTTTTTTTTTATAAAAAATACAAAAAATATATTTTTTTTGTTTCGGATTAAGTGGAATTTCGGATTACCGAAGTTCGGATTATCGGGACTCCACTGTACAACATGAAACTAAGAAACCTAAATATGTCCTCAACAGCTAGCTTCATAGAACAAGCTGACAACAAACCAAAAGTGCTAAGGCAAGTAATAAACAAGGAAAGGAAAGGAAAATGTGAAGAGAAAATCCTCATGGGATTATAAATAAATGGCAAACTCACAAACGACACAAAAGAAATGGCTAAACCCTTCAATACATTCTTCTCAAAGATAGCTGAAAATACCCTTGACCAAAACGGAGCAATCGTTATAGACCTTGTTGAAACAGCGCAGAATGGAGAGGAACCAGTCTGTCCAACACACCTTACTCTAACATCATATAAAAAAGTTGAAACAATAATAAACTCCCTTGAAAGTGGAATATATGAGTTTTCCTCTAAGATTATAAAGCACTGCTCTCAAGAACTCATCTCTCCTCTGGTTAGTCTTAAAAATCTATAATTTAAAGAAGGCAAATTCCCATCTGCCATAAAAGCCAGTAAAATATACCCCAAATACAAAAAAGGACCAACCAAAAATGCTCAAAACTACAGACCAGATAAAAAAGGACAATTTATTTCCGCCATCTTCCTTGAAGGGGAGTTTTCTGTGATTGACGATGATACTTTATTTAAAATTGAAGATGAATATTATGACTGTGGGAGATGACTACGATATTACCTCAAGCTTGGCTTGATCGAAAATCTATGGCTGGTACACCTCAAGTTATAATTACATTTTCTTTTTAGAGATTTTCCTATATAGGGAATTAGGTAGGTACAGTATTACCAGGATCTAGGAAGTAGCTGTTGCTGGCTGGCCGGCTAGGCCCAGTGTGGGGCCATCACATCAACTTATCATACTTGGATACTTACTTACTTGGATACTTGTCTTCTTTATCTTTGACCGTGGTTACGGATAGATAGCATCAAATTTTAAATACTATACAACACCATATGTGCCAATGAAACGTATACTTAAAAAAAAATAATAATAATCACAGTGGCGCTCCTAGACTCTAGTGTACTAATATTACTTTTATCCATATTATCTTTGACTATTGATACAACTAGACATTCCATACCCATGTTAAATTTGTTGTCAGATTTTTAACCAAAATCGTAGATGATGTGAGCACTGATAGTTGGCGCTGAATTAAATTACCAAATTCTCTCGAATACAAAAACTTGTTTACATGTCATACTAATGGAGTGACTTATAGTAACTGTTATGACCCATTAACTTGGTCAAAAACAAAAGATAAGGAATAAAATAGAATTTTAGACTCTACTGCATTCTGTGACTGGTTCACACAACTACGTTAATTTTTAATAAAAGGTTGGTGACAGCTGGTCTATATAGATGGGATGATGATATTTTTGTAGGATCATTAATAGATTTGTTAACAACTTAAATGAAAGTACATTTAAGTGACATTTATAATGCTACGTATAAGCAGTTGCATTGTGTTCTAAAGATGAGGACTTAATTGGTTTTTTTGTGTGACCCATAGTAAAATTTTTAGAAAATTTACATATTATCCAAACTAAAAACTTTATGAGTAGAGGGTTTATATGTTTTCCATTTTTAACAAAAAAATATATATACATTTAGATCCGATTGTTAAATTAATTGACCTGATCTGCTTTTAGAAAAGTTACATTGTTAATACTATCTAGTTGATAATACCAAACTTGAATTAAAACTATAACACTATGCTAATAAAAATGTTAACAGTCAAGTTCTTATTTCTTTTAAGTTTTAAGTTTTGATTACAGGAGTAGGGCCTATATTATTTGACAACCAAAACACTATAGTCCGTTCACAAAATTTAGGCGGTTTAAGAGGAAGGTTTACTGGGTTCCTCCACCACTTTTTTAGATTAATGCCTATATCAGCTGATCAGCTGTCAGCTGTTATTTCTAAGTTAGGGTAAAGCTGGGTTTTCCTAGGCGCGGTGAGAGGAACGGGGAGAGCGGACTCCTCTTGTCTTAGGAAATTTAATGTTACTGTTTTACTAGAAGCTGAGTGGAAAGCATGTTAATTGCTTTTCCGCCCTCCGTGTTCCTCTTCTACGTCTAGGAAAACCTGGCTTAAATTGAGGGAATGGAATCGCTTCCCTCAAACTGCCTAAATTTTGTGAACGGAGTATAGGTATATTGGGACATTGTGTCAAGACACTTGATAATATTGTACTAACCTCAAGTTGCAATGATGATTTAAGTCTTGCTGAACTCATTGTTGATTCATATGTAGACATATTTTGATTTATGTTTCTAATCTCATATATTGTTGATATGCATTCAATAAACTCCCTGAAAACCAAACCAATAAAATATTTAAAAATAAGTAAAAATATTTGAAATTTGGTGCTCACCGGTCGACTGACAATCAATTCGACTGCACTGCCAATTGTGTAGCTTTAAAGATAAAGTACCAACAAACCATTTGTGCAACACCCTAACAGTGGGGATGGATGGAGCTGTAGCGTAGGAGTGATGACAGCATTTCAAAAAGCACTAACCTCCAGTCTTTTACTACCACCAGCCATTAAGTCTTGTACTTGTATGTTGTGGAAAGGATTGTAAAACAAGTCAGTCATGATCTTGCGGCTCTTGCGTCCACCTATCTTATCAGTATTAAAATTTAATCAAACTATTCGTTAAATGTTTTTGTGTTTATGTAAGTGTCTCCAAAACAAAACCCCAGGGATGAAGAGGATTTTATAACTACTTTGTATTAGCCTTCGAAATCTTGGTCTCCAGATAAAAACCAGATCATCTGACTAAACAAAAGGTATTTGACCTTTTTATTTCATATAAAATAGTTTTGAAGCAGTTAATTTATTCACAAGTTCGATAATTGTGATATGTCATAAACAAATTGACAAGGCAAAAACTTAATTTTTTTGTTTAATGTGGATAGTTTTTAAATATAAAATGTAAAATTTTTGTCGATTGGTCCTTGATAAAATTTTCACTGTTTAGTTGGCATTTTGTGTTTGTTTTTGAAGACAAAAATTGATTAATTGAAACAATTTTATATGAAAGTTATCTTCATGCTATAATTTTACACATGATCTCCTATTGAAATGTAATGTGTATATAACTATAGTTTGGCCGCTTAGAAAGCGACCTCCTCCAGCATTGGTTTACCATTAGCGCGCAGGTCGTTTTCTAAGTGGCCGAACTATAGTAGCTTGTTCCATATCAATCATAGCTCACCTGTTCCAACAAAACATTTTTTTTTTATGCTAGTCCCCTCACTAGCTCCCCCTAGTCCACCCTATGTTTAGCCTACATAGTCGTGCAGCTACTAGTGTTGTCATATTTTCTAAAAGATTAGGGGAGAATTGTACAACTGGGAGCACAAGCAAGATAGCCAGTTGAAAATTAAATTCTTTCATACTAAAGTAGTACATTTCATTTTTATAAAATCGTTTCTGTTATTTATAGTACTGAACCCACAATACAAAAAATAAAGCATGTTTTAAAATCATTGAAAAATTGAAAAGCGCCTGGGGAAGATGCCATCCCAATAGAGTTAATTATAAATGCAACTGAAGAACTATTAATTAATATACACAAACTAATTCTACAAATATGGAGAAAAGAAAAAAATGCCAAAAGGATTGGCTGAAGCAGTTATAGTTCCGCTGCACAAACAAGGGGACAAGCTAGAATGCAAGAACTATAGAGGTATATCTCTTATAAACACGAAATATAAAATAAAATCTAAACCTTTTTTTAAACTAACTGTCATGCAGAAGAAATAGTAGGAGACGGGATGACATCATTTGTCTGAGTTTTCAGTAGTCCGAGGTTTGATAAATAAAATAACTAATAGATAATAAAATAAAAATAATATTTAGATAAATCAACTGTCTGAGTTTTAATTCGTCCGAGTTTATTCAATTATATTAAAATATCAGTTGTCAGAGTTTTCATTTGTCCGAGGTTGGTGTAAATAATAATAATCTTTGGTTAAATCAACTGTCCGACCATTCATTTATCCGAGGTTTTAAAGTATTTAAAAAAATGTTGAAATGTCAACTATCCGAGTATTGTCAGGATCAAAAGTGACACCGCCGCCGAGACTAGCATCTCAGGGTCCGGTCAGAAACCGATGAGAACCTATTTAGCGAAGGAGTGGGGGACGTGACGTCACTCTTCTCTTGAGGGAACACCATTACCGCAACGATACACATAGATATGAGGTGTAGTGGTTAGCATACTCGACTAATGTCCATGAGGTATCCAGTTCGAATCCCACCGGTGGCATTCACGTTTTGTCAAAGATTTTGCTTGGAATGCGATTACTTCTTAACTATACATCTTTTGTTAGAATTTGAAACATTTATAATTTTATTTTATAAACAGGACTATTGTTTATTTATTATTAAACCTTCATTCGATTTTTATCTTATATATTTTTTATTTTATAGGCTATAATAAAAAAGGTTAAAAAAATAAGCACAAAAATAAATTTAAATTAAAAATAAAATTGATATTGGCCTTATGGGTTGCCTTGCTGGTGACGAAATAACAATGGAATATAAACAGAAAATCAAAACAAATGGAAGAAATTCCAATCACATGTTTTATTTACAGTGTGGAGTGGAAATAGAGAAGTTTGCACAATAAGGCGACCACTAGTAATGTATAAAACCATAGTACAACCTGTATTGCTATACGGATCAGAGACTTGGTCTTTCACAAAAAAATCCCAAAAAAGACTTATTACTTTTGAAAATAAAGTATTGAGAAGGATTTTTGCACCAATAAAAGACGGAGACTCAAGGAGAATAAGAAAAAATAGGGAGTTGAGAGAATCATAAGGAACCAGATATTTTGGGGGTGGTAAAGAGTAGAAGGTTGAGGTGGCTGGGCCACGTTCAACGCAGAGGTGAGAGGGAGATGATAAAAGAAGTGATAAGAGGTACGCCGGAGAGCAGGAGACCATTGGGAATGCCAAGGATGAGATGGATTGACGAAGTTACAAAGGACCTAAGGAGTATGGGAGCAGACCTGGAGCTGGCAGAGGACAGGATCCTGGAGGCACATGGTTGACGAGGCCAAAGACCACCTTGGTTTCCAATGGTCACAGGAGTAAGTAAGTATTTATAGTATACAGGAGTGTTCCACAAAGAGGTTGCTAAGTTATACCAGATGTATGAAATAGGCTACATACAAACCTATTCATACATTATGGTAATCCACTTAGTATTAAATTATGGAGATGAGCATTATAGATGGACAGGTACTGGAAAAAGTGGAAAAAATATATTCCCGATCCTCAGGAGTTTGGAAGGATTACATTTAATTCATGATTTTCTCCAGTTATAGTCCCAATAAATACATATTTTTTATTACCACAGAGCCTAACTAAACTCTGATTAATCACAAAACACAATTTGCAAAAAAGGTCTACTAGAGTGATTTCAAAAGTGCAAAGCGATTAATGGATATCGGTTTGGATTAGGACTAAAGGAATTGATTTGAAATGGTTGTGCAAATAAAATTACTTTAACAACAACCACCATTATTTTGATGCTCCACCATTTTTTTCTGATTGGACGGAATCAAGTGGACCTCTGGGGTGTTTTTACATATGTGCTTATTGCAGCTGTGGAGTTTCAAGTTTGTAGCATGTTCGATGTGTCTGGCATATTAATATATTAACATGTTTCAAAATATATCTTAATGTTTTATTTAGCAATAAATTTATCTTACTTGTGCTTTGAACGTTCGAGTGGAAGGTAACTATCGAAGACAACTGAAGTATCAGGTAACTGTGATGTTCCTATATATTTATGAATTTTATTGAACTTGTCATCGAATTCATCTACAGCACGGTCTGCATCATCTGCAAAGAATTCAAAGTTCCTTGTTTTTAAGCTTATTAAAAAAACTTATTGCAAATTGTAAGTACCTAAGACTACTAATTAATTGCAGTACCGTACATTGGATAGGTTATTCAACTAATATTCAACACTATTACAAATAACATTCTTTATAACTTAACAATAATTATTAACAAACTAATAATGATGTACAGCCTGAGGTAAAGTTAATTTTGTCACTGAAAATGTTGTTTATACAGTAGAACCTCGATAACAAGACCCTTGATAACAAGTCAACCTTGATAACAAGTGTCATTTTCAGACTCCCCTTGAATTTATTTCCCCCTTAATCACATGTTATTGTAAACCTCAATAAGAAGTCAACCTTGATAACAAGTTTTATTTAATAATCCCTATGAGACTCTTGTTATCAATGTTCTACTGTAGCACTTTTTTCCAACCGTTTTCATTGGAGTACGGAAATACTCCACTGAAAACTTTTCTGTTTTTAGTTCACAAGATGATGAAGTCTTTGTGAATGCGGGATAATAATGATAGTTCTGCAATCACAGATTACTATCAAAATGGCATGGGCACATTTATTTTGTTTCTCTTTTCTGGTTTTATTAATTTTGCTTGGCATTTTGTTAAACAAACTGAAGTTTTCCATGTCATGTTCCCAAAGAAAATCTTCAACATTCCATTCCAAACTCAATCATGAATGGTATTTGTTTATTATTTATCATTTTACTGACCCCTTTTCCAAAGGAATAACAAAAATTCTGTTTAGTGTTGTAACATTATGGGTTGGAATGAACGAGGAATCCATACTGTAAGTTAACATATTAAACGCTTGTAAGATAAATATAATAAAAATATAATACAAAACATTCATGAGAAGGCTGAGATTGAAGGTCAGAAAACACTATTTTAGAATGTCTTGACCATGGTTCATTGCAAGCGGTCCCTATTAATTATGAAACAGACTTTTCTGAAAAGGTTATATTTGTTTGCAATTGACAAATATCTGAGTACCAAGTACAAGAGGTTTGATTTCAGGAATATTTGTAGTGTTATTATTTCAACAAGTCACATAGTTTTTATCACATTCAACACCGCAGTGCCCTCTGCACAAGTACTACAGGTTGGAAACACTGGTTAGAGTACATAAGTTTTCCCTGACATAACTCCAGAAGCACAGTTTCATCCACAACCAATGCTTATTCAAACTCCATTGTCCCAACCCATCTACAGCATCATTTTGTTTAAACACAAGAATAGTTTAACGGAGTAAATCTGGTAGATCATTGAGAACCCCACAGACGTTTAAAATATGAGCTTAAAAGAGGGAGTTACAGGAATATTACCATTTATATTAGCCTAATTAATTAACCTACGATATAAATTGTTATTGTATTTTTCAGATTTAATAATAAGTTGTTGTAATGAAATGTTTTAGTAAAAACTATTTCAATATGAAATAAGTATTTTATTTCTTAAATAAATAAAACTAGTCAAATTATTGTCCTATAGAAAATTAAAGCTTATTAAAAGAAATACAAATATTTTGTTCTGTAGCATTTTTTTATCAATATGTTGTTACAGGCCTTAGATAGAGACGGCCGTGATGCAGCTAACATTGAGAAGCTGAAACCCACACCACACAATGTTCTTTCAGTTGGTAAAGAAGCAATGAATAATATGTTTAACTTTGCATTATTTCGGCCTACTAAAATTTCAGTGGGCAAAATCCTTGCTATTTTAACGTGTGCCCATTAGAAAACAACCATTGGCCATGTTTGCGATAGTGGATGAAAAAGTGCTTAAATTAGTAATGTGCTAACTATTCAACTTTAAAAACCAAGGATGTACACGTTCGCACAGGTATGCATTGTATTTCACAAAGGACTCTTCTCCACAAAAAAGTAATTTTGCAATGACTGTAAATGTGGAGCAGTTTTGTATTGAAAGTCACTTTTAAGTGCCCAGTAATTATCTGTGGTGACATCAACATAGACATTGTAAAGGTAAATGAAACAGCAACAGTGAGTTTGCAAAACATGCTACGAAGCGTTGACTCCTATTGTGCCCATAATAAGCCAACAATTTGTAGAGGTCTAGAGTGCCTGGACAATGTCATCACTAATCTGCCATGACAATCAATATCTGTTGATGTAATGGAACATATATCTGACCATTCTGCCCTGGCTGCTAGGATTTGTACCACCTCAGTTCTAACCGATGTCGCTCCAAAGAAAATAACGATCCGCTGCTTCAGTGAAAAAAATACAGATAAGTTCTTAAGTTTTTTAAACAATGTAAATTGGGATGCCGAGTTACCGTTTGCCGAATCAGGCTAATTTGACAAGTTTATGGACATTTTTATTGATGGTATGAGGATGTGCTTTCCTTATAAAACCATAGCCTAAATAAGAAAAAATCCAAATGTATCAGTGTAAATTGGTTTAGCCGTGAACTCCTTGAAATGAATAAAGAAGTGGGCAGCTTACACACCAAGTTGCAGTGGGCACTACGCTAAAACACATATGTTGAGGAAATGAAGAATAGATATTCTGTAGCCAAATCAAGGAATAAAAAAGCTCTTCATCTAGCCAAAATTGAGACTAACGGCAAACTCATCGATGCAGCTCCAAATAAAGTGAAGAAGGCATGGGAACTCATAAATGCACAACGGCAGGTGTCTGGACGTCAAGATGACTGCTCACTAACGGCGGGGAACTTCAACTCCTATTTTGGTCCCTAGCTACTGCCATGGATCTCCTGACCAACAACATAGGCCATACACTTCAGTTCCGTTGGAAGACAGTGTCAAGTGCCCAAGTGGAGTGGTATGTGAGTGAGCTGAAGTCCAGCCAAAGTAAAGATATATATGGCATAAGTTCAATTTGGTTAAAAAAAGTTTTGCCAGCCATACTTCCCTCTTACAGCTTGTGTAAATCAGTACCTCCAGTCTGGGGTGTTTCCAGAGTCACTTAAAATATCTAAAGTGGTTCCAATACACAAGAAGGGTGACAGGTCATCTACCAGTAGCTATAGGCCCATATCGGTTGTACCTATAGTATCAAAAATACCCCCGCCGCAGCAAACCTGCAGACTAAGCGAATTTCCATTAACCTGATTGGATTTACACTAAAATGCCTCCATAAAAATAGCACATTTATTTCCTATTTAAATAGAATTAGTTTAAAGAGTACTTTTGGTTTGCTGCAACAGGGAGGGTAAAAAAGATTTTTTTTATAAAATGATAATAGTTTAGTAAGAAATAAAAGTATTTTCCAAAATCGATCAAAATATGTTCATAAACAAGCAAACTACAACAGTTGACTTATTCTCCATAAGAATAACATGGGAATTTTAAAATTACAATTTTTTTTAATTTTCTCCCTAACAATTAGGCGCATAATAACGCTTCAATATACTAAATTATTTGTTTTTTTTAGCTCTACAAATTGGTTTAAAAAGAAATTGCGAAACTTTGTGTTTTTAGGGTCAAAAATGGAAAAAACCTATTTTTACCCCATAGAACCCCCTATAAACCCCCATTCCCATAGTCCGATCATGCTGGTTCGCGAACTCATTCAAGTTCAAACACACACCTTCAAACCAAATTTTATCAAAATCGGACAAAAATTACTCAAGTTATCGTGCGGATGGACACATATATATATATATCTCTATACCGGTATATAGATATATAAAAATTTGAACGAATGGTGTTTTTGGCCTCTGGGGACATCAAAATGAAAAAGTAAATCTGTCCCGGGCTTAGGTCTTACCATGATACCTACGGTAATAGCTACTTCCCTATAGGGAAATTCGCTACTTAAGAAGGCAGCAAAACAACAGGTATGTAAATTTTTTTAATCAAATTCACTTTTTTCCAAACTTCAATTTGGCTTCAGACAAGGTATATCAACTGCGGATGCAGTGGAGGGCCTTGTCAGATCAGTACTGCAAGGTTTTGAAAACCGTGCAAGCTCACTTGCCATTTTCTGTGATCTGACTAAGGCCTCTGACTGTGTCCCGCATAACATCCTTGTTTTAAAACTAAAATTTTATGGCCTAAGTGGAGCTCAGTTTTTTTTTTAATCCTATTTGTCTAACTGATCTCAAAAAGTTAGTTTTAATAATGAGTTTTCTGAGACAGCAGTAGTTGAGAGCGGCGTGCCGCAAGGATCGGTGCTGGGTCCTACCTTGTTCTTAATTTTAGTTAATGATTTGCCTGATAGTATAAGTTGTAATTCTGTAATTTTTGCCGATGACACCGCTCTGTACAGTAGTAGGCCTAATAGCGAATTAGAACAACTAAGTTTATCGATGTCTAACGCCTTGCTTGAAAGCACTGACTGGTTTAATTCAAACGGTTTGTCAATAACCATAATAAAACTCAAAGTTTGTTTTTCTCTCTGTGTAAAGTTACCCCCAGCTTTGAACACTGTAACATAGGCCATGCAAAACTTTTAGGCATTGTTCTAGACTCAACTTTAAACTGGAGCCCACATATCCAATCTGTCTGTACTAGGGTAATTTGCTTGTTGAGGCAATTATGAAACTTGTTACCTAAAAACTTTCTCAGGGGTGCCTACTTTGCTTTTTTCACAGTATTTTGATGTATGGTATTAGCCTGTGGCGTAACAGTAATTGTGTGTCATGTGTCCTAAAACTGCAAAAAAAAGGCCATTAGAGTCATGAACAGATCATCTCTTGATGCACACAGAAAACCACTATTTGTTGCTGAGGAAATCTTGACTGTACTAAGTGTATATATTTATGTTTGTCTCTGTAGAGTTAAGAACAATTTTAATGATTTTAAATTTAGAAGTGATGGTCACCACCACAACACAAGACACAAGTGGCAGATAGATGAATCCTTTAATAGGCTAAACTTGACCCATTGTTGGTTAGACAATAAATGGGTTTTCCGGTTGAACCGACGTCCCCAAAAACTCTTTAAAAACGGACCGTTTACTGTGATATTCAACTTTAGGAGAGCATTGTATTTAAACATGTGATCACTGGTCTCAAATCTTTCCCACAAGAACAGTCGTTTCAGTACCGCCCACTTCATGCCGATCTAGTCCGGTTAAACCAATGTGCTGATAAAACTTGTCCGGTTAAAGAGATGTCATTTCCGCCGAGTGTAGTCCGGTTAAAAGGGGTCTGGATAAGAGGGAGTCTACTGTAGTCCTCTTTATCATGAAGAACTATCATCGAAGGAGATATACCCTTTGATGGCTATTCTTCATCAACACTAAGACACTATCTAATCACCAAGTTAGCAATCTTAGGTTGACTTAAGCTAGCAAAGTGACTGATATCATTGATCTGATTACATTTTAAAATCAACAAACTTTAATGTAGCTCGATCTAGGCTCTTTATTACCAATAGATTAACTTACCAATAGAGGATCTTAGGTGAGACAAGCGCTTCTCATAATCCATTCTGGGTAGAAATCTTGCAAAGCAACTTTTCTTTACAGCTTACCTATGGAAAGATTGTTGTTCTATACAATTTCTGAGATGCCAGATAATATAAACATTCTTGTCACCAAGACTGAATAATCATTGTTTGAATAATATCTATGTTTTGGTGCCTTTCAGTATTGAGATTCAGGTGGCACATTATTCGTTTCCAACACTGTAAAAACTAGTTGTTTGTGTTCTGCTCGCCAGAATCAAAATATGGTTTTCAGTGCGGCTACATTATTATCTGTGTTAATTTTCATCAAAGGTTGGTGTTTTAGTGTAAAAGAAGTGTATTGTAAGGTGGTGTGTGAGTTAGTAATAGTGCCTACTTATTTATCCATAGGCCTATTACGATTGGTAAATATTATATGTTCAAATTCGTGTTATTGAAATAGTGATTGTTTACAGGTTAGGCATAGCTAAGGCATACATCCTAGCCTAGCCAACAATCTGTATGTGTCTCACGCCACAATAATGCTTGTGGGACCTTTATTTGTTTATATTTCTCTATATATAGGTACCTATATATTCTTTTTATTTTTGATCAGAAATATATTTCCTATAAATATGTGTACCATTTATCATACGGTACGGTCCTATAATAAAGTTACTTACAAAAAGTAATTAGATCTAACTTTCAATATCCAATTTTTGTTTTTGGCAAAACTAAAATTTTGTTTTTCAAGTCATTTAAAGACATAAAAAGGTTATCTTACTTGTACAATAAGACATTATTCTGAATAAATGTATTGTTACCTTTGAAAATATAACAATTTTAGATACTATACGGGTACAGTTTTAATTAACAGCTGTGTCTAAGGAATGTCAGCCTTAGTCACTAACAAGACTACAAGATCGCGCCACTCATCCTACACTCATCTCCATTCATACTTGGCTTAAAATACCTACTATGTATGGTCGCCATTTCATTGAACAGTATTAACAGTATTAACTGGGCTATGCTAATATCGATTGAAACTATAGATTCTAGTAAACCTTCATGCGATTTTTTCACCATCAACAAGTTTGGTTGGTTAGGTTAGGTTATGATAGTTTAATTTTATAATAAATATATTGAAAAATATTCATTATTAATCAATATTTTCAATTCGATAGTTTCAATCGATATTGGCATAGCCCAGTTAAGAAACTGTACCCTAATTTCTGATTAAGTGATTTTACTTTTATTTTTCAAAAGTAGGCACAGATATGGAAGTGTACCCACTTATACTTACTTGAATCGCCGTCTTTCAAATTTATATTTTTCTCTTGCTGCCTTCTTGACTTGTATCTGGTATCAATCTTGTTCTTGTTAATCTTGGATCTTGTTAGTTGTTGCATCAAATGTTATTTATTATTGTTTGTTAGTTGTGTTGTACCGTACCGCAGTCAGTACAGTAGTCATTTTCATTTTTTTTGGCTTGGGGCTTGGCGGTTGGCGCCACTGAGCTAAAATTATAACTGGAGGTAGCACTGCCATGGCAGAAGTCTGTCAAAAGCGAGTCGCTGATTTTGTTAGGTTGGTATAGCAGTAAGTTTTCTTACCATAGCAATAACATGGCTTCTTATAACTAGGTTGGTATAGCAGTGAGTATTTTTGTCATACTTGAATACTTTTAATACTTTAATAATTTTCTTTGAAATGGCGAACATACAAAGTAGGTATTTTAAGCCAAGTATAATAATAGTTATAGCAATAATATGGCTTCTTATGGACACCCACCTCACGCAAACATGGCGGCTGGCGACACGCATCTTTGACATTCAGTGCTACCTCCAGTTAGAATTATAGCTCAGTGGTTGGCGCCTTGGTTACTTTTTTTATCTAAGTTATCCTTCTTAACAGGTTAAGGCAATGAACCATGCAACCTTTATTTCAAATTTGGATGTTTTCATCAATATCATGTAACCAATGTCAATATTAGCAAATTTTTGATATGGAGAATATGGAATAAGCTTAAGTTACCGTATATCTCATGGTAAGATCTGGATTTGGACTAGTGATGGGATTGAAATCACGTCGCTGATATTTTTCACTGATACTTGAAAATCACTGTGGTAACTGATACTCCAAGGCGTCTAGTATCAGTGATTAACGGTGACGGGTTTCTCGTTCACTGTATCACTCTGTAACTGTGGTGTGACTGGGACTGTGACTGTGACTGACTGCTAGCCAACAAGCCAACCCATATACCCTGTTGCTGTTGCTGGATTATTCTGAGTTCTGATTTCTATTATTTCGCAATTTCGAGCGCGGTTTTCGTCTACGTTCTTTGTTTCTTAGGAATAACAATGAATAGGCCTAAAACAAGTCATTTAAGAAAATCTGTTATACCTGTTTTTATTGAGTGGAGTGAGCGAAGCTCTTATACGTCGACTCTTGTGCATTTCATAATACGCAAACTCCTCCTAGACGGCTGAATCAATCGTTTTCAAATTTTGCATGGTGATAAAGACCATATCGGTGAGTGCTAACATCTATATGGTGTTAAAAATGTCTCTCAGTAATCCGCCCCACTGGATATCAAAGTTTCAATGTAAACCTTATGGAAGCAGTATTTGACACATAAACAAAGACATATGATCAGCTGTTGACTTTTGAATGCAGTAGGTAAAGAAATGGCAGTGGCTATTCGCACGTCAGACGTGCGCCGCTACCACGCACGTCTGCTCAAAATGACGTCACATTACGTTCCTAATCTAGTAGCTGTTATAGCTGTTTGGGAACAGGTTGCACACAAAGATATCCTAGTATTAGGTACGGTAAAGGCAGTACCTCATATTATTAGCCGAAATCGAAATGGATGCGGTCCGACTTCGTAAAGAGAGAAAGGTTAAAGAGTTGAACGTTGAACAGAGCCAAAGAGGTTATAAGCAATCAAAAATATAGGTGCTGGCCAATAATAAGATGTTTATTAGAAATAAACATTAGAAGATTCAATAATATAGGAATCGTAAAAAACGTAAGCCTACTTTACCTTTACCAATCAAAGGCTAGGCCTATAAAAGGTAGGGCTTACTATTGGTAGGCCTATGTTGGCCTAGATAGCCCAAAAGTAGGCTAGGCATTACGTTAGGTATGTATGACGTAGGAGTAGGATATGTTATATTACGTTACTAGTCCTGAAAATAAATGTTTACCGGACGAGTGTGGTCGTTCCCGTGCGAGACGAAGTCGAGTACGGGATTACCATACCAGTCCGGTACACACATTTTGGACGAGTTACGTACGATAGTTTTACGCCATACTACTAAATCAGTACAAATCCTTATATACTTCCACCAACTAAAGGACTAAAAATCACTAAGAGAGGTTATGTTTTTGTTATAACCACTCATTGCCACCTAAATACAATATAATCAGCTGATTAGTGTCCGGTAATAGTAGTATATTACGTTACTAGTCCTGAAAATAAGTGTTTGCCGGACGAGTGTGGTCGTTCGCGTGCGAAACTAATAATACTATAAGTCGAGTACGGGATTACCATACGAGTCCGGTAAACACATTTTGGACGAGTTTTGCAACTTAAGCTTACAAGTAGGCCTAAAATCTTAATTATTGGCCTATTTAAAATCTTATTTTCGATTTGGCCGCTTTCCCGAGCTTGTACTTTTCCTTGTACCACTGTGTTTGTGTATGCATCTGTAAGTCAATTGATAATATTTCAAATCAACATTTTTGTGTTTTTTTTTAACCTTTAACACATTTCTTTCTGGCTCCATCGATTGTTCTTGAACGTAAACGTTTCAAGGCTTCTTAGTTAGTACTGAAACTGAACGTTCTGAATGTTCCCGTTGCATTATTTTTGTAATACTGGAACTGTAACAGAATACTGGAACTGTAACAGAATACTGGAACTGGAGCTGGAACGGGAACGGGCTGTGGAGCATTTTGACGTGCGAATAGTCACTTCGTAAAGGAATAGCTGATAGCATTATTCCACAGATATTAGAACAGAAACAGTATGGATCATAAATATAATCAAAGTGTACCATATGTACAATAACATGCCAATTTTCCTGTTTAGCTCAGTCATTCATGTAAGGCCTACCGCACACGAGAGACTTTTTGTCGGCCGACTATTTAGTCGTAGTCGGGAGTCAAAGTCGGCCCCATAGTGGTAAATCTGAGCGCGCACACAGGCCGACCGCAGCAAGACAGTCGGCAGACTGTCTGCAGACAGTCGGGGCAGTTTGGTGCTGACCGATTTTCCCGCCGACTGCTCCCCGACTCAACTGTCGTGTCTTATTGATAAAGGCATGGAGATAAGTTAGAACAGGGCCGGACGTACATTATTGATCAGACACTTAACAAATGGCCTTCTTTTGTAACAGCTTTATTTTTATTTTCGCTATCCTATGTTTAAGGTTATTGTTAGGTGCATTTTAAGGCATTACTAGGAATGAGATTCTTGACCCTAAGGGACTTTTTCTCAGAGTTGCACTGGGCCCCACGCTTAGGCCTGGTTTACATGAGCTGAGCATATGTGCTAGGCTGTGACGGACAAGTTTCAGTTTCAATGAAGCCGCTCGCCCGAACGTACGGCCGCGGCGAATGGGTTGAAGGGGGTCCCGCGCTTGGGGCAAAAATACAATAAATATGAAAACTCTAGTCCCAACGTAGAACGTAACTTGTAAAATTGTATTGTGTTAAATGGAGATTCACTGGAGTTCAAATACTTTTAAAAATAAAAACATTGCTCCGTTTATGTTTTATTAAATGTTATTCTTTTCTTTTACCTCTAAGTATATACCAATCAGGATTTTAAGGGGTAGAAGTATATATTATCCGTTCAATTGAAAGGTTTTGTAAAATAGTAATTAATTAAGTTATGCGTCCAAATTTTGATCTCCAATTACGTCTTTGGAGTCAAAATCATATACTGTAGCAACAGTAAGATTTTTAAAATCTATATAGACACTTTAAAACAACTAGAGTCGTCTGATGTTAACAAAAAATTACATTTATTGGGATTGGGTGAGCGTTGTCGTATGAAATCGTAAATAAGCGAATAAGCAGAAGCAGCTGCAACAATAAATGATGATGAGCTGATAAGGGATCCTGTCTAGTCCTGACTCTCACGCACGCGCTTACACACACATAAAATGCCTTATCGCCTATCCAAAACAATTTAAGTCACTTTACTCCCATAGTTTGTCCTTTGAGACTAGTGGTCACGTCAAGTTGGTTGAAATTGTCTTACTTTTGTGTTATTTTATTGTAATTCTGCAAACTAACAGTACAAAAACAAAGCTGAAGTGAGTAATGTTGTATTCAATGCTATGTTTGTGTTGTATTAATCGATATTGGATCCATTTAAACATCTTTCAGTTACTCATATAAATACTTAGCTTGTGAGTGTTTATTAGACATTGCAAGATTTTGCTCCTCAATAAAAAAACTCAAACTTGAAAGTCCCCAATGGTACTTTTCATACTAGGACTTTCACATATTATAAAAACGAGAATGCCATAGGTACCAAAACCATTATGAAAATAAAATAATCACACCTATATTGTAGTAATATTGAAAAACCATACAAATCGACGGCAATAATCGATAATTTAAATACGTAATAAACAAAAATATATCAATACTTCTTATCCAAATATATTATGGTAGCCTACCATGATACCATACCAATATGCCGTCAATACATTTTTATTTTTGTGTATAAAATTAAAATATGATGTATATAAAAATATGTTAAAATAGTTATATTTTAAGAATTTTTTTTTATATAGAACTTATTGCTTATTTGGCCTTAAATTGCTCTATTTGAAGCCTAAATTTAGAAAATTTTCCCGGGGGAGGACCCCCCCCCTGAACTGAAATCCTAGGGCCCCATTGGAAAATTTGCCCGGGGCCCCTGAAGTCGTAAGTCCGGCCCTGAGTTAGAACGCGCACACTGACGACTAAAAAGTCTGCCAGTCTGACAGTCTAGTGCGTTGTTATCATGTGTATTATTATTGTTATTATGATTAGTAATTAATTTGTGCGTTATTGTTAAGGCTTCGACAACCACCAGTGCAAGTGTTTTGAGGGACGAGAAAGTTGATAAACTTATCGATGAAGTTGAGGCACGGTCCCCTCTTTATAAAAATACTTTGAAGGAGTATTTGGCCATAATAAAAAAATACCCCCGCTGCAGCAAACCTGCAGACTAAATAAA